TGCCCTGTTCCGTGCCACACGTCTTCCCTGCCCCACTCCCGGGTGTAAGGCGTGGGTCCGATCTCCGATCGCCGACACCCGTCCTCCCCCACTCGCGTGCCTCGGGATGGTATCCGGTGCCAACAATCGGGGAGCGGGAGCGGCAGCAGCGACCGGGTAGCCGTCCGTCAACACGGCATGAAGGTCCTGGCTCTGTCTGGCTGGGGGCACCAACCCGAACCGACGGACACCGACATGGGTCCAGGATACCGTGGTGCTTGCAAATGCCTCCTGGAGTGAGCGCAAACATGACAGGGCGGGGTTGGCGGCAGGATCCTCGAGAATATGTTTTGTTGGAAACGGCTTCACCCTCAGGGCAACGGTTTAACCACAAACTGGCACAACGGACGGTGGAACGGCTTGGGGCGATCGCTCGCTCTCTCTCTCATTGATTGTGGCGTTCGTGACCGTGATCCGTCTCCCCCTCCCTCATGGTTTTCATTCCGGCATTGGCCCGCATCGGGTGTAGTAGCGACAGTTGTTGGCTGCGACCTGCAGATCCTAGCGTATACCCAGACAGTACAACACCGAGGAAGGGGGTGTACTCATAGTTGTGCATGCCGTAGTCGTTTGACCGTTGACCTCGCATCCCTACAAAGCCGGGACGGAGCACGCCGGGTTCTCACCGGACCAGGCTCTCACATCACCAAGCGCGAAGCGCCGTGAGGTATTTGGCGAGTCGCATGAAGGGTGAGCTGCATCCTGCTAAGGGTGTTCGGCATCTTGTGCTTACTTCCTTGCGTACGGATGACAGCTACGTATGACTTAATTTATTTTCTGGTGCTTTCACTTCCAGAGACAGTTGTAAGCACTGTGTAACTGCCTCGAGGAAGCTTGACCATTTTAACACAACGTGGTGCGATCATCCCCCGTTGTGCGGAGTGAGGTTTCTCGACCCCGCACAACATGATCTACTCGACCACCATTATGGTTACCGCCAAAAAAAAAAACGAGGTAAAAAAAAAAACGGTAACCTGGTTGCCGAGTTCACGAAGTGAATTGGCTTGTTTTACAACGTCGTTGCCAAGCGACGAAAACCCAATCCCGATGGCAAACACCGAGTGGGGGGCTTGTTTTACAACGTCGTTGCCAAGCGACAAAAACCCAAACCCCGATGGCAAACACCGGGGGGGGCGTGGAAGGGGGGTGGCAAACGCCTCGTACAGCAAAAACGCAACAAAATAGACATTCTACCCCTCTTGGCATCGAGAGAGAGAGAGAGAGCGCGCTCACTCCAAGGCGTTCCATCGTCCGATGCGCCAATTTGTGGTCATAACGCTATCCCGAGGCTGTGGTTGTTTTCAACAAAACGTATTCTCAGGGTCAGGATCCTGACGCCAACCCCGCCCCCTCACGCCTGTGCGCATTCCAGGAGGCATTTGCGAGCACCACCGTATCCTGGATCCATGTCGGTTTCCGTCGGTCCGGCTTGGTGCCCCTGCCTCTGTCTGGCTGGGGGCACCAAGTCGGACCGACGGAAACCGACATGGATCCAGGACACGGTGGTACTCGCAAATGCCTCCTGGAGTGCGCGCAAGCATGGA